GTGTCCCCTCCGCAAAGAGAGGGTCAAGGCAGCCTTCTCGCTTCCGATGGATTAGGTGGCTAAATGGATACTTCCCCCATCTCGAATTCAGTTGCAGAATTGCTCATTTCTGCTACTCACCTGAAGAGGCAAAGAATTATGCTCCCCGTTGCAAGGGAGATCAGAGAGACGCTGTAGCCCAGGGTGTAAATGGCCTTCACCAGAACATAAAACGTGATCTACAAAGAAAGAAAAAGCGCCTGTGAGCTTTTGGTGGCAGCCTGGGACCGAGGGACCGTCCCCAGACCTGAGGGTGCCGTTCCCTGCACGACGGCTCTCGGGTGCTGGAAACCACGAGCTGCCTTCACCCCTCCTCCTCGCTGAGCCAAAACCGCTGCCTCCGTAAACGCCCACCTTTCTCCTGCAATTCACTGTGAGTGACCCTGGCGCCCCACGCCTCCACCTGTACCACAGACAAGGACAGCCTTTCAATGACACGTGACCAAGAACCTGGGCAGCAGGAGGCCCTGAGGTTTCAGGGGAGGGTCTGGGACCATGTCGGGGGGACAGAGAAAACAGCAAGCAGGTACCAGGACCAACTGGACCACGCCAGGTGTCAGCGTAACAGAGCCACGGCCTGCTCTGTTCCCTGCCACGGCTGCCGGCCCTCGCCGAGAGCCAAGTCCTTCCAGCATGAGCTCAGGTGTGGATCCTGGCCTCAGGCTCACAGTGACCCACCCTCGGGTCTTCCTGAGACCAAGGGGACAGCAGGGCTGTGGCTCTGCTCTCCGAACCGTCACTGGTCACCGACAGACAGCGGGGGGCGTGTGGCTGCATCTCCGCCTGTGGATGAGACGCTGTAATCCCAAGGGAGCAGCCTCTAAGTTACTGAAGGTCTGACATCCGGAAACGAGAGTGACCTGAAAACTCTGCCTGCAGCCGACTGAGCCGCAGCGGCTGACCACGCGGTGAACTCTGGCCGTGGGGACCGGACTCGCACGGTCTCAGCTTCCCATTGGCCGTATGAATCTAATGACAGCTGGTTGGGTCCCTGCATGTGGCCCTGTGAGAGCCTGGAGCTTCATGACAAGGACACATTTCCATGTCGGAACCACCCAGGCGAGGAGGGCCTCGGTGTCCGATGCTCCGCGACCTGTGGTTCTGCTATTGATCCTGCGCAGACACTCGCTGTGTATTTTGTGTTTTTAACGCCGCTTTCTTTTTCTCAAAGCCGGCCCTGGAATCAGAGTGCCTCGGGCCCCCTGGCCGTCCCCGGTGGCACAAGAAGGAAGGAGGTGCTGGGGGTCGCAGAGCCGTGGGGGCTGCTGCCAGGGAGAGGCTGTGGGCGCCGGGCGGGGCTGCAGGCGGAGGGGCCAAGAGGTGTCTCAGGCGTGTCAGGGGGCTTGTCACTCTACAGTTTCGTGGGCGAGATGCTGCAGAGCCACCTGTTACGAGTGTGAGGCGGCTCCACTCGTGACCGTACTTGGGACTGTCACCAACGCACAGATCGGGGGGAAGGCAGCAGCATCCAGGACGCTTCCCTCGTCGCACATCCGAGCATGTGTGCCAGGGCAGGTGGAGCTGGGGACAGACGCCCCGCCCCTGCTCGCCTCCGAGTCCGCAGGCGAACCCGCACCCTGTCCCAGAAGGGGCCGCTGGCTGCTCCCTGCCGGCCTGTCCCTGGGCTGCCTCCTGGCGTCCCCGCCAGTGTGCTGAACAGGTGCTGATCCTGTCTTGAGTTCCAGCTCCAGGACATCACACCGGGCCCTGGGGACACCCCTCACCTCCCCCCACCGCAAGAAACAGCCCTCGCTCTCAGCAGCGTGTGAGACCGCAGTGCCCTCCCCCCTGGACTTGCCTGAGTCCCCTCCCCGATGGCAGTCTTGCTTCACCTCTCCTTTGTCTCCCGCTCCCACGTGCCCCCCGTGCCCCCTTCTGGAAAACTCGCCCTTCACTGGCGCACAGTGGGCATCTCGCTCCAGGTTCATGGAGATCGGCTGGCAGTGGCCACAGGCCGTGTCCGTCTGCTGCCCCCGTGAGTCACGGCCATGCTCCTGGCAGTAGAGTTGTGGCTCTGCAGACTCACTCTGGCGGCTGCATTTCTAGTTACTTCTGTGTTTCCCAGCTTGCAGCATTCCTGGGAGACCACAGACTGGGGACACTGGGCAGCAGGTGGGGACTGAGGGGGAGCCCGGCCTGAGGAAGCATCTGGCCTGATGCCAGAGCAAGCAAGGGCCACATCCACGGACGCGCTGCAGCTGGATGGCCCAAGGCTGGCGGGCGCCGAGGCCTCGTGTCCCTACAGCCTGCTTTCCCAGTGGAACTTGGAGGGGGCTGGGGGGCCGCAAACCCTCCTAATGGGACCAAACCCTCCGTCCAGCCATGGAGAGACAGAAGGCCCGAGGCGAAAGCGCCCCTCACGGAAGGGCCCTGGAGGCTGGCTCTGGTGGCACGCAGAGGGCCAGGCACAGACGGGGTGCTCCCGAGCCACGCCCGCTGGCCACAGGGTCTCTGGGCCCACATGAGGACCAGCCCGGCGGGGCATCTGCGGCATCCTGAGTGCCTCACCCCACATCGCCAGTTCCAGGCTCCTGTGCAGGCCGACTTGTTGTCCCTGGAACTGAGTCCACTTGGAAACCAGCAGAGGCTGCGCACACAGCTCTGGGGCGGCGTCCGGCTGTGTGGCAGCAGGAAGTCCAGTCAAAATGGGGCGCGGGAGAATGCGCAGCTGACAGATGCGGTGGGGAGGTCGAGGGGCGTGGGAGGGGCCACCACCGCGTCCACCGCTGGTGGCCCAGCCGGGGCCCTGCAGCAGCGCTCCTGGCCCTCGGCCCGTCCGCCCCGCAGCTTCACCCCCGAGCAACGCCCCAGACCCCCACACGCAGCGTCAAACGCAC